ATGACAACATCCCAAAGAAAAGGGTGCAGTAAAGAGAGGTGCTGGAATGTGATGTCAGAGCACACCTATGTTCCGGGAGAGCTAAACAAGTCTACTGCAGTTAAAGAAAAGAAATGTTTCAGATACCTTGCAGCAAGTATTTTCATTGAGAGCACGTACTCTGACCAAAGATCGTGACTACTTGGTGTGCGTGAAAGTCATATTTTTAGAATGTCATGAAAAATGGAGAAGTATATGAAAGGCATTCTAGCTTTAGGAAATAATGCTAGTAGGGATTTTAGATTAAAGAGGTAATAAGATCTGCCTAGGCAGAGTGAAGAGAGACAGTTTAGTAGTGAAAAATAAGGTTATCAGACAAGTAAATGGCAGGCTGGAAAATAAAAATGTATCATTTCAATGGCAGGGAGCCATTGCCTGTTTTTCAAAAAGCAAGATACTGAAGTTATCATACCCTCTGCATCATTTAACTTGAACGCCAAAGAAGTGATCCTAGAGTTCTAGTGACAATGGGAGGGAAAAACTGTAGTAGTCCTACTCAAAAATTAGGGTCCAATTTATGAATTTATTTCAGGGGTTGAGGTTCAAGTGAAGTTTAAATATAAAATGAAGAACCAGACAGCTCTACTTCAAAACTGGTTGCAAGGAACAAGGATGAAGAATAGTTGCAGACTCATTTCTGTTCTGTGGAAGACAGACATAACATTCTGTGATTGGGATCTTGAAATTTGGGGTGATTTGTGGGGGTAGAGTGTAAAGAAAGCCCTATTTTCACCATGTTAGGCAGGAAGGGTGATGAAGTATCTAGGTGATGTAGTTAAACTAAAATCAAGCAGATTTGGAAAAGTGCTGCCCTAAACAGATAAAGACCTGACCATAGGAAGGAATCCATTGTTGGGTCCTGCAGGAGGCCTTCTGCCTGGGGCTGGCCCAAAGCTCGGGAGGAGCAACAGGCAACCACCCCCTCCTGTGTCTCACCCTGAATCCAAAAGTTACCACTAAGGAAAAGAATCCAGTGGTTCTTACAGATGTGATAAGCCAAGATTTCAGCCTCTCAGAAAATCAACAGAGATGCATCGTGGGGTCAAGGGGAGAAAAGTTGCCACCTGAGCTGTGACGTGGAGGTAGGAAAGAGCTCCTGATTCAGACATGAATGAGCAGGAAACAGACACCCCCTCTCCCTCTGAAAAGTGCTGTGACTTCTTTCTTAGTAGAATTCCAGAGCTGTGAGTGATAGAGGGACACAGTGACTCTTTGCTGTAACTCCTGGATTTGCTGATCACCTGTGAGCTAGTAGGAGTTAGAGCTGGTGGCTTGGAAGGAGAAGGCAGGAAGGACATTGCTTGGGCGTATTCAGCCCTGTACTAATTGAACTACTTCCCACATACCCTAAAGGTCACACACCTTGCTCTGGTTACAGAGCCCGAGTCTGCATAATCTCAACTTTTTACCTGCATTTCAATAGTACTTCTCACTTCATGCTTCAGGAAGTGCTTGACCAAGGCACCCTAAATCTGTTGGCATAATAGACAGCCAAATAGTTTGTAGGCTACATGATAAATGTTTTGTTGGAGTTCTAGGATGGCAAGGAGATGAGGAGGTGAGGAAGATACCCCTATTACAGAGTTACAGTGAGGTCCCTACACAAAGAACTTAAAATTCTCATGGGTGAGTCAGACATTGAACAGGCAAATTTTAAAAAGAAAAAAACATAAATGAACTAATCAGATGTTGTGAAAGGTGCCCTGAAGACAAAGTGCAGTGATGAGTTGGTGGGAGGCTGCCTAGTTGGGTAGTTAGCACAGGGGTCTATGATCATTAACATTTGAGCTGAGACCCAAGGGGTTGGGGACATCTGGCCAGGACAGAGCCAATGGGAAAGCCTTCAAAGAAGAGGAGCAGTCAGTGGTCAATGGGAAGGTGAACACAGAGACAATTGAAAAGATTTGAGACGCTGGGCACGGTGGCTTACGCCTGTAATCCCAGCACTTTGGGAGGCCAAGGCGGGTGGATCACGAGGTCAAAAGATCGAGACCATCCTGGTCAACATGGTGAAACCCCGTCTCTACTAAAAATACAAAAAATTAGCTGGACATGGTGGCGCGTGCCTGTAATCCCAGCTACTCAGGAGGCTGAGGCAGGAGAATTGCCTGAACCCAGGAGGTGGAGGTTGCGGTGAGCCGAGATTGCGCCATTGCACTCCAGCCTGGGTAACGAGAGCGAAACTCCGTCTCTAAGAAAAAAAAAGAAAAGAAAAGATTTGAGACTTAAGGAGGAGACCAGTTTGATGACTGCAGTGGCCCAGGCAGAATGCGCTGGGGTCATGAACCAGGACAACACTGATACATGAGCCAAAGAAAAGACATCTCTGACTCAGCGAAAAATCAGGAAAATGGAACTCACTGCAAGTATGAGTGAAAATTCATCTGTTCTCAGTTGGAAGTGTTGACTGGGGAGCTTGTTGAGAGTCTTGGGTCTTATAACCTGTTTTCTCTGAGAAAGCTGAAACAAGAGGCAGGTAGCTGGAAGTGGTGGAGAACTGGAGAGGAGGAGAGAGAATGTGGGATAATTGCTGTGTCGAATGGGAGAAGGCCTAAGAGACATGCCCAGCAGACAAAGCGTAGAATCTTCATGCCATCCACGTTGTCATTTTTCCTCTGGCGAGACTGCCACCCAACCATTGGATAGAGGAAGCAGGTGGAGAGGCTTTTGGGGCTTTTCTGGGTAGTTGAGACAAGACAGGCAAGGAAGCTAAAGAACTGGTGGTGTGGGCAAGTGATGCTGGTGATCAAAGAACAAGAAGCCAACAGACAGAGATTTAGACCCCAGAAGGGAGCTTGGGGCACAGGAGAACCTCAGGGTAGACAGGAAGGAGGCCTGGTGAAAGTGATGAGGTGGAAGGGTAGAATGGTGGTCCGGGGTCAGACAGGGAGGTACATTTAATGCTTTAGGGCACTTTGATTACATCATAGCTGCCATTTTGTCTTTTAACTGACTCAGTAATTAAGTCAGTAATAAGTCATGTTTTCATTAAAGGGAAATGCTTGGCAGGTGGGTTAAACTTCATTGAGTTCTGATCCTGTAATAATTATTGTGTATAGCTTTCTCACCTTTTTGTCTACTTGAAATGAGCTCTTTTGTCCTTTGAGCAGCCAAAATGGAAGTGTTGGATGTGCTGGCTCTCTTGGTAGGCTTCTGTTGGATGCCTGTTGTCACTCATAAATGTAACACCACAGCCATAATTGATGGAGAGTTGAGTTGCAAGCTTTTAGGACTAATTGCAAAGTCTAAACTAAAACATTTCCTGCAGCTACCCTTAAATAATAATAATAATATCTTGTATAGATATAGTGCTTTACAATTTAAAGAGCACTTCACATACATCACCTCATTCAATCTTCACAATAAACAATGCTTTTTCAATGCTTAGATCTTTCCTAAGTGAAAAATCATGTTGCACATCCTGATTTAATCATAGTGAGTCACCAAAAGTTCTTGATACAATAACCATTTATTGAGTACCTTCTATGCACAAAGCACTTTACTAAGGATACCAAGGGGTAGATTTTCAGAAAACAAATACCCAGTAAGTAGACCTATCAGTAAATAATTTACCTTCCCTTCCTAGTCACAGTCACTGCTTTGGAGACCTCTTGCCATCCCGTAAATTTATATAAATATTGCCAGGAATTCATTGTGTCAGAGTTGAAGTTTTAAAACTAAGGATTCTGATACTTGTCTAAGCTCATAATTCATCAGAAAGTCATCCTATTTCAACCTGTACTTTTCTTGAAGACTGTTACTTGACTCTCAAGAAAAATGTTTCAAGGCCTGAGCATATTTGAAAATGCCAGCCATTGAGTTCATTGTCCTGATTGGAGTGATTTGGATACAACTTGGCAAAAAACAACCAAGAGTACAATTTGGCAAAAAAAAAAAAGAAAAAGAAAAAAAAAAAAAGATAACTTGGTGCTTAGTTCCAGAAGGCTTATTATTCAATAGAAAAGAAGACACACTTACCTCTGGGCTCTACTGGCCAGACTGGGATGCTGTGAGGAGACTGGGAGACAAAGGACTTCCTGGAGGCAGGCTGCCCTTTGGGTGAGGAAGGAATTGGAAGGTAGTATTGGAGCTGAGCCCAATCCCAGGGCAAGAATCCTAAACCTGTCTCCTGGAGTCCCCCAGCTGTCCAGGCATGTCCTCTGGGCCACCATGGCTTTCAGAGCATACACAGACTTTGGGATCTCACTCAGGATCCTCCAAAAAGTGTAGACCACACAAAATGATAGGAACCCTACCATCAAAGTGCCCTGGGCAGAGTAACTCCCTCAAACCATGATTCCTTCTCCCATTTGGGGCTGAATGAGGCTCCACGGTCTGATGTTGAACTTCAGCTTAGAAACCCATTTTGTTGATGAAACACAGGTGTTCATCGGGGTACTGATGATGAACCCAGTCACCTCGGTGCAGCCATTACTTCTCCAGCCATGTTCCTGCTCCTCGTTTGACATCTTAATATTACTAATTCTCATGTTAACACTAGCTCTCACTCACCTGTTTACCTGGGCATGTGGTTTGGGAATTGCGGGGGGACAAAGCGAGATCCTAATTTTTTTTTTTTTTTTTTTTTTTAACTAATGTATACGTTCCTGGACGTAGTTTTTTGGGAATATTTTCCCATGATAACATCTTTTTAAGTAACAGGTTCTATGTTTTACAAGGGAGGCTAATGTCTGTATTGCCAAACTATCTCTTGATTCTTTTGATACAGAGCTTAGAACTCTTCTTTCTTCATGTTGGGCAGGTATGCCTAATGCTTTGTTTTGACAAAGGATATGCAGTCAGCATCTAAGCATCCCACGCATACTCCAGAGAGGAACACAATTAGGGTGTAGTGTGGAGCTGGGAGATTGAGCATTGGTTGAGTCTAAGTGATGTTTCCAACTGGGGCTGGAAACGTGCTTTATGTAATGTATTCTGATCATTTAGGTCTCTCTTTATAGGGCATCTTTTATGACCAAGACTGTCCAGTACCAAAATGAGCTACATAAATTCCTAATCTGGGATACAGCTGGACAAGAACGAGTAAGTCACTCTTTAATTTACTCTGTTTTTCTGAGGCCCAAATGAAAGCTCCAACTAAACTGTCAGCATCTCTGTCATCTCATGTTACTCACTTCTCTTCCATGCACCGGAGACACATTTCTTTCCATTTGCGTAGGCCAGCCTTTCCCCTTTCCTTTTCAATTAGAGCCACAGAGTCCACCGATGGAGAAAGTGATAATGGGCACTGAGGGTCTCTTTATACCGTTTAGTGTCTTAAGGTAATGCTGACCAACAGGCCTGACAAAATCCCACTCAGAGCACTGTATGTCATTTAGAGCTCCCTCCTCTAGTAAAGAGATACAAAACAATTAGTGGTAGAAAGGGTGAGTTAAGTACAACTCATTTATCACTGCCTTTTAAAAGCTAAAGAGGGAACTTTACAGCACATAAAGTGTGAGATTTAAGTGAAAAGGATGAGCTAATGCAGTGCCTTGCAATAGATGCTTAATAAATGCCTGGTGACAAAATTGGCCACGATGGTTATCTGCTTAATAGATAACCATCTGAACTGGAAGCGGGGCCTGGCCATAGCAGCAGAGGGTCTAATGGGATCTAGGGAAGCCCACCCAAATCGGACAGGGGTGGGAAGGCAGGGATGGAGACAGACGCTTGCCTGCTGCCTGATCTTTCCTCTGGGTACTAAGTCCAATTTCCCTGCCAAGGTGTCTCTGGCAGCCACCCCATTATTCAGCTGCCGTTTAATTTTGTTTTCAAACAGTACAATCCAAACAGCACATCTGATGGATGCACGGTGCTATCTTAAGCTCCTGAAAGTGTACCAGAAGTAATCAGGAAAAATAGTATGTCATCACGGCCTTATCTAAGACACCATAGATACTGTGTATAGTATAAAATCTGACAAGAATCATCACAGACAAATGGAGGAAAACAAAACAAGCCATTTCTGTTGTCCTAGACATAGACTCCATGCATTTTTACAGATTTAATGTCTTAAGTTTGCTCCGTTTGGTTTCTTCTGTTTTTAACACTGGATGTCGTGCCCCTGTCCCATTACTCATGTGAGATATTTCTGCTTACCGTCTTCCACTCCCCATTTCTTCTCCTTTGTTCGTGTTGTACATCTAGAATGGAGCATTTAGGACAACTGGACCTTTGCTAACCATCCCCCTTCTGTGCTTTAGAAGTGAGTTGCTTACCAGAGTTCTACTGAATATATAGACACAGCCCTGGGATCTGTCCTATCCATGAACCCGTGTGGCTCTTCCTGCTAGTAATATATGTACCCTCCACTAAATCCCAAGGTTCAATTACCCCTCACATATGTTTGATGATACAGCAGAGTCCTCATCATAAAGAATCATGCTATAATACAGATTCCATTATGCTTTGAATCAGAGCCTGTCCTGGTATACACAGTGATATATAACGTCTCTTTTTTTCTGGAACATGAAGAATAACACAAGGGTGTTTGCCTCTCTCCCTTTCTGCCAGCATGGTAACAGAAGTCTGTGAAGTTTTAGACTTTGCTGGTTTTCCTGCCTCTGACTTTCCCTTTTCTAATTGGTTCTGCAATAAGAGTAGTTGCTCTGAGATGCAAACCTGCCTCTGGCCTGCCTGATGCACCATCATGCAGCCCAGAGCTGCACAGGAGATGCTCATGGGGCCAGGCCACAGGCCAGGGGACTGACCAGGAGGCCCTGCATAGAGAAAACAGGAGAGGAGCACCAGCTGATGAGCACTCACTCCAGCCAGTGGTTGCTGGGCATGAGCACATGTCCAGGGTTGCCACAGCACAGTGCTAAGGAAAGCCACACATCTGGCAGCTACCGACAAATTGTTAGAAATGCTGGGATGATCGCACAAGACACGTCTTGTGAGCCTGTCTGGGTCAAGGACTGCCACTTTATCCTGGGATATGCACTGAAGGTCCAGAATGTGCCATCCACAGCCAGGCTCTATTTTCACCTCCTCCCACCAATCTGTCCTCTAGTATAGACTGCGTGCAGTTCTCCGGCATGCCATAGTTTCATGCCCTTCCACCTTTTGCCTAGAAAACTCTATTCAGCCTTCAGAACCTACCTCTGACATCACCTAAAGGAGGCTTTCCTGCCATCCCTGCTCTCAGATGAGTAATCATATCGCCACACTCCCGTGTTGCTCAAACCACATCTGGAGGTCATCCTGGGTTCCTCCCTCACCCTCAGCGCTGCACACCTGCTCCATCTGGGCATCCTGACAACTTCATTCTCTAAATGTATCGCAAATAGATTCACTTCTCCATCTCCACTCCCAGCACCCTGCTCTCAGCCACCTTAGCCATTCACTGAGTATTCCTTTAGCCTTTTCATGGGTCCCCTGCTTTCCCTCTGTCTATGACATGTCCTCATAGGACCCAGAGGAATCTTCTGGAAACAGAAATCAGCCCGTTTTTGCCCTGCTTGTTATCCTTCAGCGACTTCCCACTGCACCCCTCATTAACAGTCACACTCTGAACAGAGACCTCCCAAGCCTTTTGAGACTTGCTCGAGCCTCCCCCTGGGCGCCTCTCTTCTCAGGGCCTCCAGCACTCCTTGGCCTCATGCCTCTGGACACACTGTTCCTTCTCACCGAAACACTCTGTTCCCTTCCCTGGAACCCAGCTGGCTCCATTCCCGTCTTTTGGTCTCAAGTTAAATGTCACATCCTCAGAGTTTTCTCTAAACCCCCTGCACCTAAGCAGGGTCCCAACTTTGTTCTTCATTACTGCCCTTACTCATTTTCCTCAGAACATGCATTAAAAATTGTCCTTAGATACCTGTCTACTCACCTTAATTGACAGAGTCTCCCATCAGACTGTAACTCAAGAGCTGGGACCACATGTCTTTTTCACTGCTGTATTCCCAGAGCCTAGCCTGGTGCCTAACCTAGAGCTGGTGTTCAGATATTGGTTGGTTGGATGAATCAGCAAATAAACTCTTTGGAGTATTCGTTTGTATGCTGAAGCCTTTTATTGCACTCATCCATGGGATTGTCACCTGTTTCCTTACCTGTCTGCCTTTCATTATACTGTAAGCTCCTCAAGGTCAGGAACTGCCTTCGTATCTCTGCTCTCAGCCCCTGGCACATGGTATTGGTGCCCATAGGTTTTTGTCTCCTGTTTGCCAGCCCTACTTAGGCACAGATAAGGACAGCTCCTCTACCTACTTTTACCATGTGAGTAGTGCATGACTGAAATTTTAAATTTCTGGCGTTGTATGTTTATTACTCTCTGTAGTTAGGAGATTTATTATGGAACCAGAATTGTCATAAAATGAAAACCCTTTTGATGAATTGACCATTCAAACATGCTCCCCATTTGACATCTCGTACTGCGCATAGTTTTGACAGATGTGTTGTCTTTCTGATGGTCCAGCTACATTTGATTGCAAAGTGATTTCATTAAGTCAATGAAAGTGATTTTGGAGAATTTCTCAAATGTCATGTGAAGCCCTCGAGGGTAGGGATCTTGTTAACTTAAATGAAGAGGAAAAATACTTATCAGGATGATGATACAAGTGCTTCAGAAGATAATGGTTTGTGTATCAAAGGGTTAAGAGGGGCCTAGGGAAAATTGATGAAGCCCTCAAATACTTTTCTAAAAATTGCCGTTTTTATGATAAGACTATAAAGTCACACGTGAAATGAAGGATATCATATTGTGCTAGCATAGAGTTTTATCAGAAGATTCATAGCCAAGTTATCAATCAAGTTCGACTCAGTGTTCATCCAGAAAATTAGCTCCTGGCTGCAATAATAAACCTAAGTTTTTTCAAATACCACATAAAATGAGACTTGATTTTACAATTTTAAATTTATCTCCTTAAGATAGAGCTTTTGTGAGACCATTTTGTCTTTTTATTTGCTATCTTGAAAGAATGCATTTTAAGTCACCTTTTTCCACCAATTATCCTTCATTAACAAAGACTCCGGTGGTAGTATAGAGACAGACACAGCACATACATTAAAAAGCATCATAAATATACCATACATGTAGCAAGAACATGTCAAATACTTGCCATCTGTGTGTGATTATATAAAAGATAGCTTCTTGGCCAGGCAGGGTGGCTCACCCCTGTAATCCCAGCACTTTGGGAGGCCAAGGCAGGCGGATTGCCTAAGGTCAGGAGGTCAAGACAAGCCTGGCCAACATGGTAAAACCCCATCTCTACTAAAAATACAAAAATTAGCCCACAGTGTTGGCACACACCTGTGGTCCCAGCTACGTGGGAGGCTGAGCCAGGAGAATCACTTGATCCCGGGAGGCAGAGATTACATTTAGCTGAGAACACACCACTGCACTCCAGCCTGGGCTACAGAGCAAGACTCCATCTGAAAAAAAAAGAAAAAAAAAAAAAGGCTTCTTAAGCAGAATCTAATAGACATTGCATCCAGTCTTTAAAGATTTGCATTTCTGCATTCATAATGTAGTTTCTCCCAATGACTGTTTTTACAGAGACCAGAACATTAGGAAGGCTCAGACTTATTTATTGTCACAATAGTCATGTAAGGAGTTGTTTTGTTTAGAATCAGGAACAAGCGTAGTGGCTTAGTATCATCTAGAGTTGAGGCAGACAGTCCCAGAAACCAGAGTCTACAGTGCATCGTCCACACTGTCCAGTGCAGTTACCATCCACACGAAGAGACAAGAAGACCCGACTCCATGAGTAGAAGGAAACCCAAAAACAATCCCATTATTAGAATTTGCAGACATAGAATTTACACATATATATTTGGGCCAAATCCAACCTGTTGCCAATTTTTGGTAAATAAAGCTTTCCTGGGAACATGGCCATGCTTGCTTCTTTATCGTCTGTGGCAGGGATGTCCAAACTTTTGGCTTCCCTGGGCCACACTGGAAGAATTGTCTCAGGCCACATATAAAATACACTAACATTGACGATAGCTGATGAACTTTTAAAAAAAGAAATTGAAAAAACATCTCAATGTTTTAAGAAAGTTTATGGGTTTGTGTTGGACCACATTCAAATCCATCCTGGGCC